CTCTCTCTCTCTCTCTCTCTCTCTCTCTCTCTCTCTCTCTCTCTCTCCCTTTTTTAGATTTAAATGACCACTGTGGTTCCCTTACACATGTGTGCACACACATACACACACAAAACTAATTATCAAGCCTCATCTCGATCAAAGTGCGAGGCAAATTTTATCTATAATGACATTTAAATGAAAAGACTTTCTGCATTTTTCTTTAGTGACAGTATTTACCCATATGAGTGAATATATCCCTTTCACAGATTTGAATAACATGAGACTTTACAATCAAAAACACTGTTTACTCTTAAGTTTTTTTTTCATTTCTATAAACAATATATATAGAGTAAAAGCAAAATTACATGTCTTATTTAGTGTGTTGGGACAGAATCATCAAATACCAAGGTAGACTCATTGCTTCCATATGTATTTTGAGCAAAGTGACTCAGTGAATGACTGACTACTCTATGGAAATAACTTTGCTTTACAGAGAAAACATGCAATCCTAAGTATAATTCAGATGACAGTCTGAAATGGTCAACATTCCATTAACTGTGATCAAAAAAATCTTTATATTTTCTTTTGTGTTTATATAAACAAGTTAAAAATGCTACAGATGTATTTGTTAAATAGCCATTATTTGCACTGTGTGAAATGTCAAACATTTTGGAAAACAAGTCAGTTTTCATGTGGAAAAAAGACATATATGCACACAAATACAAAAGAGCTTTCATTTCTATTTCTATAACGTCGTAATGCAAGCCAAGTCAAGAAAGGAAATATTAAGCTCAGTTTCCCTATGGATAATTTTTTCAAGTGATAATGTATAATGACTTAAATCAATAAATATGAGACAAATTTCACTATCACTGTATACTTGAACTGGTCACACATATACTAATACAAAAGCCCAAATGATATATCATAAGCTTTCATCCACAGACATCATATGCTAAAATGTTCTTCATTTTCATTATAAAAAGAATAAACTTCTTAATGGTTAACATTCAGGGAAAGTTCATCTAGCACCAAGATCTTATTAAAATAGAAATCATTACTTGCAGAAATAAAGTAAATATTACTATGAATTATCTAAATAGCAACATTAGCAGTCACCACAATTTGTCAAGTCTGTTATTATAACACTCACCGAGGGCAAAGAGTGTAATGAAGTTTAAAAAAGGGGAAAGCATTTGCCCTGTTGGCCTATATCTAGGTCCTTGAATGAACCAAGGAAAAATAAAAATGGAAGAAACCGAAGTAGGTCATATTGTATTTGTGAAACATGCACATGTATATAATACACAATTTCATTTACTGGAAGGAATCTCAAAGTCCATCTTGTCCAAAAGAGGCCCAGGGAAGTTAAGCTGTTTAGCAGTTAAGAGGTAAAGAAGTAGTGAAAATCAGAGATGGGATTTGAATTCACATCCTTTAACTTGGAAACCACGTCTCTTCCTACTATACAACAAATTTGGAGTTACTCTTTCTGGGGAACCATAATTTACATCAGCAAAGCAAAAAGAAAAACATCATTTTTTAAAAAATTATAATCCACTTGAGTCATTTCATATAGATTTGAAGGTAAACCAAACAATGGTTTCTCTAAGAAACAGAATAACTATAAACATTGATTAAAGCATAGTGTTACCTTGGCAAACATAGCCCCTTTCTTCATGGCCAGCATTGCATAAGCACTTGCCAATGGGCACCAACCATTCCCCTTCTGTGCTGCAGTACATTCTGGGTGGTTCCTCCTCCTTCGAATTATTAACACAAGAACCTCGGACTTCTACCAGGGATTGGGAGTCCATAGGTACTGTATCTGGAAACATTGCCAGGTTCTTCACTGTAAAAGGGCACTTTTTAAAGTACACCCTTACAGATACTAAGGCAACACAGGCACCAACATCTTGAAAAGCCAAATAAAAGCCTTTCCTGTTCACTGGGCCTACCTCACGAACTTCAGTGTTGAGTTTGAGAATACGGTCCCCTAGGTCCATCTGTGTGAAACTTTCATCAGCTGCAATTGTGTCAATCTTGGTAAATTGATGTTCTCGGAATTTGACCCCATGGTCATCATCTGACTCCATGTAGTAGAGGTTGAAAGTCTCCTTGCAAGTACCCAAAACCAGTGGGATACTATTGCAGTCCCTTAGTGTAAACTTGAGTTCCACATAGATCTTCTGAGCTGAATTTCTTGGGACCCAGTTTGTTCTCAGCCAATTATTCTGACTATGATCCATAACATTGCACACCTGGTAGGTCCTGATAGGGGTGTAATGCTCATCAACCCCACTGATCTCTTCCCACTAGTTTCAAAAAACAAACAACAAAAGAAAAATTGACATTAATAGAATGATTATATTTGAAATGAGATGTCAGTATCTAAGCCATTTCATAGAAATTATAAATACACAAAAAAATAGACATTATTTCTGTTGGTGGCATCACTTTTTTTTTAAACAAGTCTCCTTTTGAGTTTCATCTTAGTACAGATCCTTAATACTCTCTGTCTGGATTTTTGTCATAGATTCTCAATATATCTTTGAGATTCCATTCTCTTCTACTTCCAATTCATCATGTATATCAACATCACAATTATCTTTCTAATGTATATCAATCAAATCATGTTACTCCTCTGCTCAAAACTCATCAATAGCTCCCTATTGTCTACCAAGTACAAATCAAATGCCTTAGGCTAATTCAAATTCTTTTACAGTCTAGCTCAATCCTATCTTTCTAACCTTTGTCTCTTACTTTCTTTCACACACAAAATAGTCTACCCTCTGACCTTGTACTGCACTTTCCTGCCACCACATCTTTGTTCACATCATTTCCTGTAACTTTAATCCTCCCTCCCTATATTCATCAATTGACTTCCCAGATTTCTCTTGTTAATATCACCTTATCTCATGAGCACTCACAAAGTACCTCTATAAAGGACTTATCATGTCTCGTATTTATCTGCATGTTTACATTGCCATGAGAGCAAAGACTGAGTTATATTTCACTATAGAAGGACCTTGTGGTATATTAGAAAGTGTGTGGGATTTGCTGTCAAGAGACATCTGAGATCAATCACTGCTTCTCTCAATTACTTACTGTGTGAGCAGGGGCAAGTTACATAACCTCTCTGGGCCTTAGCATCACCTATTGTGCATGGTTGTGACAATCAAATGAGATCATGGAGCATACCTTAAAATGCTATGTAAATGTCAGCTGTTACTATCATTATAATACTTCTTGCTTGATACCTGTTTGTTGAACTGATCTAGATTAATTAACATTAAAAATTCAATCATTATTTGTCACATAGTTTAAAGCACTAAACTGGGGTTCTTTCAGATCAAAAATTACAATTCTGGAAAGTTAGTTGTTAGCCTAGAAAAATGCCTGCCTTCTGCTATCTATGAATAAAATCTAGATAATAAACTGTTGTCACTCACTGAAGTTTAGTCTAATTGTCTATGCTTCCTGGCACAGATTATCCTTCAGATAACCAAGATTCAAGTGGACTGCATGGCCTTATGGCTCAAAATCCAGCCCAAAGTAAATAAGGAACAGTCCAATGTCTTTGCTGAAGTGGTAAAAAAAAATATTATTTTATCCAAAACTTATTTAGGAATAAGATCTTATTTAGGAATAAGAGACTAAACTGCCAGAGATCTATCAATTTGTTGATCTTTTCCCAGGAAAAACTAGGTTTAGAGTTCAACCTGGTGTGTTGCTAAAGTGAATGTTGAATGTTGAATCATCAATGATAACAGCTAATGTCTCGCTTTCTATGCAATTAATTTTCTATAGACAGAAGCTTCAAGGATTTACTGTTAAAAGATTCAGTCACATCAAGTGATGTTCAATGACCCAAAGCAAATTTTAGAATTACTCATTAAAAGTAGAGAGAGACAACATAAGGTGATTGCATCTAATCCCCCTACACATAGTAATCACCTTCCATACTGTATTTAATAAATATGAAAGAATGCAGATGGAGTTAGAAAAATTTGTACAAACATGTATCTGTCTCAGGTCAAATGAGTTAGAGAAGGCTGTTAGCTATTTTTCCTAAGGGCTTTGCTTTGTAACAGCTATCTCAGCACCAATGGAGAACCTATAAAAATCACAAGATCCTGGAGCAGTTGGAGCTGAGCTTCAGGGAATACTTTATCTTATTGGGAAACATGATGGGTCCAATTCATGATTTTAAAGTTTTCATATCATATCACCCCATCATCATCCATGTTCCATTTATTTCTTTTATTATTTGTATTTTAAAATATTCACAGTTGCTCATAACTATGAGGCCCCATCTCTCTGTCAGAATGAGAGAAGTCCCTAATAACCTTATCTGTACTACTTTAATAGCCTCTTCACTACTCTCCCAGATTCCACTCTCTAATCTTTTATATCTATTCTGCAAACCAGATTCATCTAGGATATGTAGGGAAATACATATAATAAAATTTAGAAGATGCAAAACAGATATTTATTGATACCATGTATTTTTTTTCTTAAATTTGTTCGTAGAATGTCCTTGCGAAGAAAATCTGAGGGGGGCAAAATAATTACACATATCATGTTGCTACTGGGAGTTTTGTAAATCCAAAATTCTCTTTTAAATCTAACCATAAATCTCACCATAAATAAAGCTGATATTGATTCCTTAGTTCTTTATAGGATTTACTTTAAGGCAAAGAAAATATTTGTCCTCTCCTTTTAATAAGCAGCAACAAACATTCCATAAGAACCATTCTGCACAAAGTATCACAAGAGAAGCTGCTGGGAGTGTGGCAAAAATGAGTGCAGAATGTATAAGTTGTAGATTTTTACTAACATCACTATGTAAATTCATAAGAGCTATGTATATACATACATATATATGCATTACATACATACATACATACATACATATATATGACAGAAAGAATGACAAATTCCAGGAAACCAAAATTTTGATGACTACTTCAGTGTCTTTACAATGTTTGTTTCTATACTTTCACAAAATTTAATACAATGTTAATAAAAACTCAAGGGGTAATTTAGTGGCTCAGTGGATAGAGCACTGGGCCTAGGATCAGGAAAATTCCTTGTTGTGAGTTCAAATCTGGCCTCAGACACTTAATGGCTATGTGACCATGGGCAAGTCACTTAACCTTGTTTGCCTCAGTTCCTCATCTATAAAAATGAACTGGAAAAGGAAATGGAAAACCACTCCTATATCTTTGCCAAGAAAACCCAAAATGGAGTTACTAAAGAGTTGGACATGATTGAAAAATGACTTAAAAAGACAAAAACTCAAGAGAATATAGTGCTTTCTGTGGACCACCTGCAAAAAAATATGAGATCATAACACCATTATTTACAAAAAGTGAATTTATCTTCCAATTATATATAAACATTACACTTCATGTTTTCACTATAGATGTGTATTAGAATTCACTGCAATTATCTAGAATTGTTGTCCAGTATGAGCAGCACTGGGCTATATGCTAAAAAAAGAAAAGAAATGCTCAATGGTGAGCTTCAATGATTTGATGTAAAATATTATTTTAATTATGGTGATCTCATTGTAGTTTTAATATTTTTCTTCTCAATTCTAATTTGGCAAGCTAATAAAATCACTTGAATATAGAGATATAAATTGCAAGATAATGCAAACAGCACTGGTATGTTCTTCACATAAAAGGTTGCAGAGAGCAATTATCACTTCATTAATCTGTAATGAAGACCAAATTGCCTATAAGTGATGGTAGACTGCCATTTCAGACCACTTGCAAAAACAGCAAATCCTCTAGCATTGTCAAGCAGTAAAGACAGAAATAAAACCCTGAAATTATTATTTGCTTAGCAATTAAAAACACATACAGTAAATGAGACTATTATTTTATGCATACTTCTGTCACATCAATAAATGACCATGTTTAACTCTAGCTTCCTATTTTAGAAACATTTGTGTAATATTCATAATTCATTATTAATTCATCATAGCCATGTAAGTCTTTTCCAAATCAAAAGTCAGTTCTGAAAAGAGAGATAATATACAAAACTGTGAGGCATCTATCTTCTTTCTTTCCAATTGGGGAACACCTTTTTCCTTATCTTCAAGAAATACCTCAAAGGAATTTTAAGCAGTTATAGTTTCATTTAACAAAGAGATACACAGACTCACAAGTCACTTAAAAGGTTTTATTGAGACTCTGAACACACACACATACACACACCACACACACCACACTCCCCCCCCCACACACAAACACTTGCACACTTGTCCAAGGTCAAAAATTCTAAGCCCTGGCATTCAAATCTCTAGTCTCAGTGCTCCATCAGACCTCTGTGTCACATAGTTGTTTTTCTTGCTCTTCCATAGATAGACAGAACAACAACAAATCTCCCAATCCATCCTCCTTCTCCCTAGAGAAGTCATTCTGAAATCGATCCATAGCAAAAGGAATCATGACCTTTACGGTGAATTTGCTCTTCAGTCAGGATAGCTTAAGAGACCTAAGGGAACTCTCAATTTCTACTTTTTCTAACAGCAGCACACTTTGTTGTCACCAAGACAGTCAAGGAAACATATATTTTTAATAATTAATTGGTATTTAACATAATAACCATCATTTTGATAAACCCCAAATTATAGTAATTACAGATTTATACTCTTAATTGTTACTGGGGTGATATTGTTGGCTAGTTGCTGCTGTCATTAGGATAGTTAAAGATGGAGTACTGAAAAGCACTTAAAAGTTTCTTTAAAACATTAAAAAAACAGTTATAGTAAATATAGTAGTTGGCATTTAGCAAAACCAGAGGCAAAATGCATGTTTTCCCCCCTCACAATTTACCTTATGAGAATATACCATGAGTGTGTGTGTGTGTGTGTGTGTGTTTGTGTGTGGTAGGATCATGGGATTTAGAACTAGGAGAAACTTCAGAAGTCAATCCCTCATTTACAGTTAAGGAAACCAAGGCCCAGACAACTTAAATGATGTTCCCAAAGTGACAATGATATTACATGCAAGAGTCAGGTTTGAACTTAGGTCTTGTCATTCTAAATCTAGTTCCCATTCCATTGTACCATGAAGGAGAAATATGTCAAGATACCTTAGTCACCATCTTGCCCTTGCCACTGACTCACTGTGTGACATTGGGAAAGTCAATTTACCTTCTCGGGGCTTTGGTTTCCTCAACTATAAAATGAGGAGTCTGGACTAAATTATCTAAACAATCCCTTCTAACTTTAAAATTATGATTCTTGCCCTCTGGTGAAGCTATTTTTGCATTTACTTTTGTTAGAGGCAGGAGGAACTGA